TGACTAAAGCGTGCCTGTAACCAGCCCGTGGTCGTCGCGGAACCAGTGACGTTCAATCTGGACATAGTCTAGATGCATTTAGACCGCCTGCACCCTCCTCCCTGCATCCTGCTTCTGTGGCTCGACGGGAAGACTCTTCAAACGGCGTTATAATGAAAAGCAGCGCTGGTTCCATGAGAGGGAAAAAAAAAGCAAGCCTTTTAATGGAGTGTAACCCATGAGAATAGAGCGCGGCACTATTCCGACTTCACTTGTTGATTGCGCTGTCATTTTTTTTTCTTTGCCAGTGCCGTCCCCACAATACAGCCTGCAAACTTCGAAGTACAGTAAGTTTCCAGCCCATCCGGATTTCTTGCAGAGGTATCACAGTTATAAGCGCTATATTATGGGCAACGCAAGTCTACAGCAAAACAAGTCAATTTGGGAATATATACGCCCAAGGATTGACTTCACCTCTTTTACACCTTGGCTTGACATTTCCAAATGAATACAAAGTTATAAAAAAGCACAGAACCATTTTTTTTTCGCCACATATAAACTTTGCCAACAGCGTGACAGCACTTTCGACCGAAAGAAAGAGCGATGCCGTGCGGAGACAAGAGAGGACCCTGCCCACCTCTCGAAACATGCGCTCTTCATACGATTGGGACAGCCTGAGAGAAAACCGCCGCGCGCCCGCAATCGGAGGCCATAGTACAGCACTCATAGATTGAAAGAGGCATCTTTAGGGCTACGGAGCACAAACACTTATGTTTCGACTGTCTCCGTTTGCCTATATCAGTGTAATGCCAAACAGAATGTGTACATCAAAGCGAATATTATTTCTAGAGCCCAGATTTGTTTCGACAAGATGTGGCAATTTTGAGCAATTTTACATATAAGTTGTCATCTGAAAAAAATTCATGGTGCATTTCAATCGTTAGGTACTGTACATAGGCATTAAATAAAGGCATTGCTTATTGTAATCCTGCGGGGCCGGGTGATATTTCGCAGCCCGCAACCACGTCCCTACATACCCACTGAGGGGAATGCCTAGCGGCTGGGCATAAAAGGAAGCAAGCAGGCTGCACTTTCGTCCACTGGACAGTGCCACATGTACACCTGGAAGCAGATCACCAACTGCTGCCTATCGAACTCTCTGCAGAAGTACTCTACTACGAAGAACGGCAACGGTACGTCGAACTTGTAACACTACAGGCAAGGAAATGCCTCACTACATATCTAGATCTCTCGAAATGGCACCGCTTGGGATGAAGACAGAGCTCTACCCTAAGACTGCGTATTTCAAAGGTGTTTAGAAGTACTTGAAGCATTTGGAGCATTACTTAACGTGTAATGATATAGCAGCGGCAAACTGGTTTGCTGCCACTCACAAAATTGCCCTGGGCAGGGCACTAGTGATGACAGACACTAAGCAAATGTGGAAAAGAGAACAAGAGGCATCAGTGCACACAGTCAAGGGCTCGCTGTGTCAAGACCAGACACCAACTAACCCAAACGAAAGAGGAGTCAGCAGGAGCAAAAATGTGAAGTATGCACCATGGGACACTCATAAGAAATGTCTTGGTTTAGAAAAATTGCATTTGTTGGTAATGTTTAGAAGTAAGTTATTTGAAAAAGCATGTCCCAAAAACTAGAGCAAGACCAAGCAATTGTGTGCCTGAATCTTCGAATGAGGACTCGAATTTGGGTAATGTAACACAATCCTGTTACGAACAGCGTAGAAGTTCAGAAGCAGAGAGTACCAGTCTAGGTTTTCACATGTAAAATGTGAACCAGGCCAAATGCAACTTTGCCCATATACATAAAAGGACAGAGTGGTATGGTGCTTAAGTTCAAAGACTAGAGCATGATGTTATGTGTCATTGTTGTAAAGGACAATGGCAGGAAGTAACCAGTGATGAATGGAAAAAATTTGATGGAATGCCTAAAACTTGAATGGCGTGAACTCTGCCATATTGCGGCCAGAGCACGAGCTGTGGCTATAATATACAAGTACCTGGGCATGTTCTCAACAAAAGCTAGAACAGTACAAAAATTTCAAATACATATTTTCAAAAACTCGGCCCCGCTCTCGTGTTTTGCTCCGAGAGGAAATATTTGTTTGCATTGCAGGAGAAAGTTGAGCAACAACTAGGCTACACCACTAATCATTATTATTTGTTTGTGGGGTTTAACGTCCCAAAACCACCATTTGATTATGAGAGACGCCGTAGTGGAGGGCTCCGGAAATTTTGACCACTTGGGGTTCTTTAACGTGCACCCAAATCTGAGTACACGGGCCTACAACATTTCCGCCTCCATCGGAAATGCAGCCGCCGCAGCCGGGAATCAAACCCGCGACCTGCGGGTCAGCAGCCGAGTACCTTAGCCACTAGACCACCGCGGCGGGGCTACACCACTAATCACCATTGCGAAGGAAAATGAGAGGGTATGTTGATCTGAGGAGGACAAAACAACAATACCCATTTGTTGAACACATATCGTTACCCACCTCTAGGATGAAAGAACTTGTACATGGCCTAAGCAGGCGGAAAAATGCTTTCTGCGCAGAGCTCATTTTTGCCATGTCAACAACCACTTCTACTTACACCAGGGAAGCAACCTTTGTTTACAGTAAGCACAAGTCTCGGGTGCTTACTGCAAGCTCCAGTCATTGCCCCGATATTTCAGGCGATAACAGATGAGGTGCTTCACAGCATCTTGACACAAAAGATGCATCAGCAATGTGACCTCACTATGACAGAGTTTGACATCCGTGATTGCCAGCAAGCATTGGAATACATCTTGCAGGGATTGAGGAAATCTAATGCTCTAGGTAAGTGCCTATTGTTTTATTGTTTTAATTTTTTCACAAATATGTGACTTATTTCAGTTGCAAGGTCATTGAAGAAGACATTCACCCTACAAACACGTAAAAGAGGGCAATATTCCAAGCCTTTCAGCCCACAATAGTTATCGAGCTCTCCTAAATTTGGGAAGGTAGACCCTATAGTTAAATGTTTTTCAAGAACACTTGGACAGTAGCAGAGATATTCTACCAACTACTGAAGAAAAAAAATAAAAAATGGTCATAGGAAAGAGAACACAGCAAAACATACAAAGCTAAGTAACAGTTGCATACAAAAAAGGACTGATATTCTATAATGTTTAAAAATCGCCCATAATGTTTTTCTATGTGTCGTCCTATCGCTAAGGTACCCTGATTTTTCACGTTAGCCATGCCTTGACCGGTGAATTGTGTTCGTCAGACTTCATGTCTTATGCCAATTTTGATAAATACCCTGTACAAAAAGTGACACTAAAGCACCCGGACAGAGGCAAACAGAGAGAAAAAATTGAAGTGCTTTTGGCTCACCAAGAAACGTTACACATTTAAAGCTACTCTCTAAGCTTTCCTTCCAGTATATGTGTGCTGTCAAATTCCTGTCATGTGTAATACAGCTTGGCAGATGAAGCAGTTTCACACAATGAAACAGCCTCACAACAATTTCGGAGCACAGCCCTTAGCCGCCCATTCGTGCAATGAGCAGCGGCCAGCATAGCCAATACAGCATTCGAGTACAACGTAGAATTTAAGCAGAGCGCAGCAAGCCTCTGTGACAGTGTCTTGAATGCCTCGAGCCTGCTCGTTTTTCTTGTGGGAGTGCAACGCATGCCATGCGCACACAGGCACAAGAAAGTGAGTTCAACTGCGACGCTTGGGAGGCAAGGACGTGCATAGGTCTTAGGGACACTTGGTGTATATAAAGCAACACTATCGTGCATGGCAATGGTACCCATTGATGCCATAAGTAGAAATTAAGGGCTGCATGAACAAAGGTTTGTATGAAACAGCTGTTGTAGAATCGGCCACGCAGTGCCTTCTCTAGTTTCCTGGTTAACAAGTAGGGCACCCCCCCTTACCCCCCCCCCCCCCCCCACTTTAAGTCAACGCAATATCAAAACACCTAAATAGCTACACTTGAAATTCACAGTAGGCAGTATCAAATTGGTGGAATACTTCTTATACTTGCCCCTTTGTGATCATCATCAGCTTCACTATGCTTACTGCATAGCAAAGCCTTTTGTCATGTTTTGCCATTCAACACTGTCCTGTGCTTGCTGCTGCCCCATTATACTTAGAAGTGTGGCAGTTTGGGCTATTTGGTATGACATGATAGTTATAGTTATCCCCATTATACATCCACACTTCTTAATTTCAGCTGCCTCTCTTTCTGTCTGCCACTGAAATGCTTGCTTTCTTTTAGAATCCATGCGAATACCATTAATGACCAGAGGTTATCCTGCGTACGCACTACGTGCCATGCCCATTTCTTTTTCGTTTCCAGTCCCACTGTACACGCCCCTTTGATTCCAGTCCCACTCTACACTTTTCCTGTCTGTTAAAATTACTTTCTTTTTTTGTTTTGTTTTGCACTGCTCAGTGCATCCACAATTTAAGGTGAGCCCGCTTTGTAAGCATCAAGCTTTCTGCTCCGTAGGTAAGTACAAGGACGATGCAGCTGTTTTCTACCTTCCCTGTTCAGGAATAGGATAAAATACCATTCACGATTTTGGACTGCTCTCCGAACGTGCTCCAACACATCCTTATTAACCTAGCATTCCTTTACAACTTTCAGTCTCGCCACTCGTCTCTTTGCAAAGTGCTGTTCTCTGCCGTGATTGTTGCATAATACTTTTACGCTCCCTAGTGTTCAGACCAACTCTTCTGCTTTCCTAGTCCAATAAAGTAATCATGAGCTGCAATTTGTCCCCCGAGTTACTTGTTGATGAATTGTCATCACAGAATCGCAGGTTACGAATGTATACTCTCGATTACCTCATACCCATAACTTTTGCCAATCTAGGGCCCTGAAAACTTCGTGTAAGCACACGGTGAATAGCATTAGGGAGATCATGTGTTTCTACCAGCACCTTTTTTTTCTTTTATTGAGATTCACTCAATTTTTTTTTAAGAACACAGGTCACCCACAAAGCTTCAACATTCGAAATCTTACCTGATCTTTTGGCCTCTTCAACAAATGTGCTTTCGGTGCCTCCGATGCATTCTGTTCATTAACGAAGATCGATGGCACCACGGCAGCCCTTAATTGAGCAGACTTTATCGGACTTTCCATCACACGCACTAACGATAAACACCGATGGTAGTTACTATCACGAAACTGCTTCCAGCAGAGAACAGTGGTTCTCGAAGACTCCTGAATTTCTTCTTTTCACCATCGCGATGCACTACACAGCTCGTTTTTTCTTCCGTTGGAGGTTGTGACGCGGTACATCATTTCGTTCGCAAATGCTTCTTCAGCCGTACGGAGGGCAAAATGCCGCGATGGTGATAAGGGTTGGTTCTCCATCCAGTAGCAGCTCTTCAAAGCGTGAATTATAAGCGTACACAATGTCTATTCTCCCGGCAACCGGGATAATTGTTCGAAAAAACTTTCTCCCGGCGGTGGCCTCCCATTGGCTCTCTTATGTCACGTGACTAACTGCCATGGGCCTTATGGCGAATTCCATTGGGAGAGCAGGTGCACTCAAAAGCACGCTCAAAGTGCTCTCTTCCGAGGCGGCGTGTTTCAGTGGTCGAACAGGAGTAGGAGCACTGTCATCCATTGGTAGAGCGAGAGCGCTTTTGCTGCGCCGAGAGCAGCCAGGAGCAGTTCTGTCTGCTCCCTCTTAAAAAGCGGAGTGAGTGGAAAACGCAGGAAACCACGTGTTTGGAACGTCATGTCCGGACATACCCTCTCAGCAATCCTCCTCACTTGTTTACATTTTGCGGCGTCGTGTCGGGCGGTTATGGCGGCAGCGAAGCGTGCGTGGTGCTCGGGCTCGAACGATTTTAACGTCGTAGCGGCAGATTCTGGCAGTGAACGTCCACCTTGCCTGCCTTCAGATTCACGGATGGCGGAGGCAGCAAAACGTCGTCGTCTTGCCGAAGTATTTGACGAGCTAGACGATGTCAGCAGCGATAGCTGCTGGAGCTCTACGTCCGAGTCGAGTTCAAGCAGCAGCGACGATGACGACGAAGTGTATGCAGCAGCGTTTCAGCAGCTCTTTTCTCTGCCAGAGCGAAGGCCGAAAGTGGAAGCATATGTTACAAAGACGGTGGCTAGCTACTCCGACGAGGAGGTGAGTCATTCGGCTTCTGTTTTAATTAGGTTGCTTAAAGGCCTGTTTTCTTCCAGTTCAAAAGAAATTTCCGCGTCACGCGGCCGGTCGTGGACTTCTTGGCAGCAGAATTCGCCAAGTCACCGCACTGCCCTCAGAACAGTGATCATGGTGGCCTGCCTGCCAAGTCGGCTGAAGAACACATTCTCTCCTTTCTTTGGTGAGTGTCCGTACGTTTAGGAATGCCGCTGTCATCAGGTCACTGCATAATCCGTTTTATAGTGGGTTAGAGGCATATGAAATATTGCAAATAAATGTACCTAATTCGCAGCATGTCATTGGACCACCTTGCTTTAAACTTGTTAAATGCTACTAGCGAGTGTCGAACGTAATAGAGTTATAGTATTTTGTGAAATGCTTTCGTAGTTTGTACACCTACACACTGAGCTTCACAAAATTCTCGTTACTAGAATCAGTGGCAAAGCATAATTCATGATGCATCATTACAAACAACCATGAAAACTTTTGCTCACGAAGCATTTCAAATCGGCTGTGTCAGCAGGTTCACAGTGAGCTTCATCTCCACACTTATAAATGTAATGCGCGAATTAAAATTAGAATTTGTTATTTAGATAGTGCTTCTACTAATCAAATATTTTGAGTTTCTAAGGTGTCACCCAAAAAGGTGGAATCGTGTTTTCTGACTTCAGTTGTCTTGCTAATTTGCTTCATTGACAGCGACAGCATTGTTAACACCATTATTCAGTCATTGACAGCAACAGCAAGCTTAATTCCATTATTTAATTAGAGTATCCTCTCCTTTTCAGGTATGCAGCCAACAAAGCATGCATTAGAGATGTCGCTGGCCGCTTTGAAGTCGCAGAAAGCACTCACCACAGAATGATGGGCCGAGTAACTGCATTCCTGCTCGACATAGCACCGAATGTAATCAAGTTCCCCAGTGACCTGCAGAAGCTTGCTGTGGATTTTGAGAAGGTAACTATGCTTTTGTAAACATGCTATTTAAGGTATAAACTACAGTTTTTTTCACACCAATGTCATACAGCTCTACACAACTCAAGGGACCAGACTAAGAGGAATTACACCTACTCAAACCACAATAAGGACTGAAAGCAACTGATATGCAGGATCAGAACTGCAAATGAACAGAAAATGTAAAAATGCAAGAGATATGAAAGAGCACCACACAGTCAAGCCTCCTTCATGTGTATTACAAATGCTGTCAGCAATCGGACATTTTTCTTGAGTAGTTTTGACCATGTGATGCTGTTTCATATCTCTTCTATTTTCCCATCTTCTGCTTAGTGATGTACATCTAGTACTTGTCCTGCATGTACAGTGAATAAACCTAGAGTTCAGTTACTTGTGCACTCTGTATGTACTCTGTATGTGTCATTAATTCCCCTTCGTGCGGTCCCATGTGTTCTTTACCGCTCTACTATTACAATTATGAATTAGTTAGTGCCAGAATGCACCTTTTAAATAAGTTATTACAATTATTTTTCCCAGATGCTTCACAATTAAATAGCCAGTTAATTTCAATCATGTGTACCGGTAGTGTATTGCACTCGCCGTTATGAGCTTCAAGTCTCCAGTTTGTTTTAAACTTTTCCGCATGTTATTGGCACCTTTCATTACCCTTAGTGCCATGCTTATTTGACTATGTGTGTGCACATTTTTTTCTCTTGCAGCTGTCGGGATTCCCAGACACAATTGGGTGTGTTGACGGAAGCTACATGCCTATCAGGTGCCCAGCCAGGAAAGTGCGATCTGTTTATATAAACCGGCACCATTACCTATCCTTGACACTTCAAGGTGTTTGTGACAACAAGAAGAGGTTTCTTGATGCCAGCACTGGCTACCCAAGCAAAATTCATGACGCACGCATTTTCCGTCGGTCCAGGATTTCAAGTGTTTTGCCACAACTGTGCTCTAGCAAGTACCATATAGTGGGGGATGCTGCATATCCTTTCCGGGAGTACCTGATGACACCAATTCGAGACTATGGGAATCTTGACAGCATCAAAAAAACCTTCAATGCAAGACTCTCCGGGACAAGGGTGCTTATTGAAAATACTTTTGGCGATTTAAAAAATCGTTTCAGACAACTGCACAGGTTGGATATGTGGACAGTGGATAACATGTCCAAGTTTATCATTTCATGCTGTGTGCTTCACAACCTCTGCATTGATTGTGGAGATTTGCCAGAGAACCTGTCACGAGACCTGTCACTTACCTCACAAACAACAAATGTAGACTCAAGCTCTTCTGCAGTTCAAGTAAGCAGCAGTAGTGTAGCCCAACAGGATAGCCTATTACGTGGCTTGGCTAGCATCAAGAGAGATCACTTGATGATAAAAATGGGGTTGCAGAACCAGCAGCCATGAAACAAGGAATTCCTTTACGTGTTATGCAGTTGTGAGCAAATATATGCTTACCAAAGGCCCACCTGAAAAGCTGAACTCGTTAAAACACCTTCAAGGTTGGGAAAAATTGTCCTTACCACACACCTGTTGGCCCATTTGCATTTTCTCAAGGTAGTGTATTGTGCCAAACTAGAAAATAAAAGACATTGAAACTAAGTAATCGCTTTGGGTAGTACGTTTATTTATTTAAAACTACCACTTTATTTTGGAAGTCCAAAGGCCTGACGGAGAATCTCCATTTTTTCTTCATGCATTTTGCGCCGCTCTTCACGAAGCACCTGTCGCTCGGCCTGCCTTTCAGCTCTTCGATTTTCTTTTTCTTGACGTCTGGCCGCCTTTTGAGCCTCCTTTTCTTCTTGCAGTGCCCTCATTTCAGTAAAAAACAACTGCATGTGTGCCAGGCGTGCAGTTCCTACCCGTGGCTTCGTGTCGGGATTTGAGGACTGCGTCTTATTTTCCTCAGTGGTGTTGGCAGGTGACAACACGGCCGGAGATTCGGGCGAGGCTTTGAATGTAGCCCCTGAGGCGTCTCGCTCTACCTCCGGTTCAATGCTGTCATCAATGCTTTCAATTTTTTTCACCTCGTCGTCAAAAGGCACAGGGGTGGGTGAAGCACCAGACCTTTTGTTATGGTCGGAAGACGCCTTCCGACGCCTAATTACTGTTTTGTACCTATTTTCACACTGTTCTGGGGTTTTGGCTATGCCAAGCACAGCCTCGATGTCCATCGATATTTGTTTAAAGGCTTGCTTCCTGTTTTTGAATTTTTTAAATGGGCCAATCTGAGGGAAATATTTGAGGTAGTACTCTAGGAGCAGCCTTGTTTGCCCCTCTGTCCATTCAGCAGCTAGAATAAGAAAGAACCAACACATAAATGGTTTATTGGGAAACTGTCGGTCATTGTGCAGGCATTACTTATAATTGAATAATTTAACACACAGCACGGTCACTTGAGCTTAATTATCAATCAGCAAGCATTAATCAACAAAACAAGCATTTGCGCAGACTAGCAAACATACATAAGTGATAAGTTCTGGTATTGTGCATGTAAATGCAATATGCAAATTGTGCCAGTCTTCCAGTAATTGTAGTGGTCTGCTTTCCATGCTCTCTTTTTTTTTTTGTCATTTAAGGATCACTCCTACAAGTACACTTTTACACGCTCTGATGCATGCTTGTTAGATTTACCCAAGAACACTTGCTGAGGCAATTGTAGACACTCAGTGTTAATATACTTGCCTCCACCTCCTCTCCTGGAGCCTGATGGCTTGCTTTGAGCACCAGTCTCCCCGTCAGCTGATCTTGATGCAGTGGGAGCTGGCAGGTGCAGAGTATCTGTGCCATCTAAAAAATATAAATGAGCAGTAAATGTAGTGCCTCGCAATAATGTTAATACTAATACTTACCACCTCCTGTTTCAACGCATGGCAATCTGAGCTCCATGCGCATTTCTTCGCTCCCTCGCCTTGGCACATCGCCAGCCATATTTGTACGCAGAACTGCATCTGTTTTCACACAATGATGGAAATGTAATCAAATCAGTTATATAATGAAAATGGTTTCTCAAGTAGTCAGCTACATTATGCAAACTCGGATGCCTTACACTCGAAGGTAAGCGGATTAGAGCAAGCAAAAAACAAATTCTAAAAAAGTCAATTCATCATGTTACAGGGCTGCATGAAACACTGCACAAATCACTGATAATTAAAAAAAAATATCGCTTATCATACGTAGCATCTCGACCCTGCGATAAGAAATCGTGCTTCCGAGGAGATGTATGGCTTCACCGTATCACGTGGGATGCTGATCTGCCGTCTGGAGACATTAGCCACTTAAAAATCAGAAATAAAAATAAATTGTTACTGCGTGCAATA